ATTAGGTGACTAAAGTATCTGAGCTTGAGCTTCATTATCAATCCTTCCAATGAGCAATCAGAGTTGATTTCTTTTAAGATTAAGCATGCTACCTAGCTCTCTGGGTTTTTTTGTGCGTGTTTTGTAAAATGTTGCTTACCCTAAAAGGGAAGTCTGTGATCAGTATATATATAGTACCTGTCCTCTGGAACAGCATCCTTCCCCCTCCTCCCATTGAAGTGGCTCCCGCCCAGTTTTTCTTCCAGCAGAGCTCCTTTTGGATGGGGTTTGCATGAGGTTGGTTGTAGGTTGTTTTCTCCAAGTTAATCATTGTGCTTTTTTCTAATTAATTGTTTTTATACTTGGTTTTTATTGTTGTTCACCACCTAAAGTCATCTGGAGTTGGGAAACCTCATAAATATGATTGATAATAAATGTAAAAAAGCTAGCTTTGGCATCTGGGGACAGGGATGGAGTTATCCTTAAATAAAGTTAAATAGTAAAAACTTTTTACTAAACAAATATATTTAGTACAGTGTTGGAGATGATCCAAAATATTATGAGCAAAATTAGTAAAGTGCCTGAATAAGCTGCAAACGAGCAGAGGAAAAGGGAGAATGAAAGTGAGGCTTTTTACTTCTCTAGAGCTACACATCTACTGAAATATTGCCCTTTTCCTACATCAGTGTTTCTCAACCTTGGCAACTTTTAAGATGGGTGGATGGATGGAATTCTGTGAGTTGAAGTCCATGCATCTTAAAGGTGCCAAGGTTGAGAAACACTGTTGTACATTATAGTTTAACAAAAACAGCATATATGGCTACTTGGTAGCCTAAGAGGACAGATTTCTGTCCTAAGGAATTTATGAAATAAAATGTAATATGGGGAAAATAGTTAGAGAAGGGATGTAGAGAGAATATACTTATTTAACCTTGCCACAGATGTAATTATAGTAGGATGTGGGAACTGCTATTTATAGCATATGGCAGTGGACAACAGTGTTTTGCTTCCCAAAGTAATTCTAAAAGTTGATCTCACAAGATCTTGCTTATGGGAGGATAAAGCCAGGGAAATTGCTCCTGCCAGGAGCTTTAGAGCAAAGTATGTTGTTTTCTAGTGATTGATACATACAGTAAACTCTCAATTTAACAGACTAATGAAGGTATGCCTGTTAGACCCGAATGTCTGTTAAAAGGTGAATGGGATTTTAGTGATGCCTATAATGGCAAATGGGATTTTTCACTAACATAAGATGGAGTTATGCACATGTATTTCTAGTGAATCATTTCAATTGTTATAATATTCAAACTCCAATATTACTGTATCATAGAAGTGTGTAATGATAAAATATAAAATTGCAGTCAGTGGAATTTTTCTTAAAAGTAAGTAGTCTTTGCAAGGAAACATGCACAAAATTAACAAGTGCATTTTTAATCATAAAACGTTGAGAATTATTTTTTTACCATTATTTCTTTTGCTAATTGTGGCTTGACAGCAAGGCCACATTGCTGTCAAGGATCACATTGATTTGCTTATATTTCTCAGTGTCAGATATATTCAGCTTCCTACAAGGCATTTTGCCAAATAGAAATCTTGGAAAATAAAATATATGCTGATTAGCGATGAAGTGTATTTCTGAACTGGGAGCTGGAGTCTGGACCCTAGATTTTTCATGTTTGTTAATTCAGAAAGGGCTCAGATTTACAATTTGATTATTTTTGGAAGGTCAATAGATTTTTTCCCAAATTAATACATTTCAATTGGCTTCATTCTTATAGCACTAAGTACATCCATCATGAATGTAAATTTCAGACACTAACACAATTGCTTTCTCATAGCATTCAAATATTCTGTGGTATTAACTAATTAACACTGCCCCAATAATTCCATGGCTTGTGTTTTGTCTTTGAAAGATTCATTTTTTTTTTCATTTCTTTTCCTTTAACAGGGGCACTCCAGCTAACGAGAATGGGCATTAATGGCCTAATGAGTTATGTAGGAGAACATAGCGAATTCTTTGTTGACCTGCAGCTGAGAAACACAAATGTAATCATTGATGGAAATAACTTGTATCATCGCCTTTACTTTGATTCAAATCTGGATATCCGGCGTGGTGGGGATTACGATTCTTTTACAGACATCATACGTCTGTTTTTTGAATCGTTGGCTGCGTGCAACATACAGCCTTATGTTGTGCTGGATGGAGGTAGTGATGCATCTGATAAAAAGCTTACAACCTTAAAGGAACGAGCTTTTGAAAAGATCCAGGCAGCAAATTCTCTTTCTTGCGGTGGTGGCGGAAGTGTACTGCCTTTGCTTGTCAGAGAGGTCTTCAAGCAGATCTTGACTAAATTACAAGTGCCTTTTGTACAGTCATTTTCAGAGGCAGACAGGGATATTGTATCACTAGCCAATCACTTGAATTGCCCTGTGTTAACTTTAGATAGCGACTTTTGCATTTTTGATCTCCAAGCAGGCTACTGTCCTCTAAATTACTTTCAGTGGAGAAACCTTTGTAGATGTAAAGACTCACAAGACTGCTACATCCCAACGCGATGTTTCTCGTTAGAAAGATTTTGTAGACATTTTAGCAATATGAACAAAACCCTCCTGCCTCTTTTTGCAGTGATGAGTGGCAATGATTACATTAATCTGCCAGCTATAGAAATGTTCTTTAGTAAGATACACCTTCCTATTGGGAAATCGCGGCAGAGGAGTAGAAAGCATGACCGCATTCAGGGACTGCTGAACTGGTTGTCTCGTTTTGCTGATCTTGGTGAGGCAATGGAAAATGTATTGAAGTATCTTAAAAAGCATGAAAAAGAAGAAATACGACAGCTTCTCTCTTCTTTCATGGAAGAATATGAACCATCTAATGTCAATCTCAAAGATTTTTTCCAGAGTGGTGTGTATGAATCTGAGGAACTGAAGAAATTAAAATTACCACAGTGGATCGGGGCCAGTTTAATTAAAGGACATCTACCACCATTTGTTAGTGACGCCCTTATCTTAAGAAGAACCATCCTTCATGTTCAGGTGGAGAATATACGAAGAGGTAGTGCTCATACCACAGCTCTGCCAATTAGACAAGTTATCTATTGGTTACTTCAGAACACTTCACCAAGTTCACTTAGTCCTTCTCTGAACAAACAGCCAACTTCATTTCCTCCTGTCTTCCATGAATTTGATAGATTCCAAAAATCGCTCAAGAAATCTTCTGTTCAGGTAGCAGAATTGGCACAGAAATTTCCAGACAGTCGGTATGCTTTGGCTACATTAAATGAGGTGAATACTTAAAATGATGTACATAAAGCTATCCTATACAGAAAACATGTTTTTTCTTCCTAGCATTTTCTCACTGGCACAGGGTCCGCTTTTTTCAGATCAATCAAATGTTGATCCATTGGTTATGACAGGAAGTGACCAACCAGCTTGTTCCCCAAGCCTTATGTCATGGGCTGAGAGAGAATGACTGGCCCAAAGTCCCCCAGTCGGCTTTCATGCCTAAGGCAGGACTAGAACTCTCAGTCTCCTGGTTTCTAGCCTGGTGTCTTAACCACTAGACCAAACTGGCTCTCTATCCGATACAGAAAACATGTGGAATATTATACGGGGCAGATTCTGGCCTTTGATACTATCAGTTTTTTAATCATTTTTTTTAAAGTCAGATTTGGCCCTTACAACTTTGAAGATACAAATTAAACAGCATGAACAGTATTGCTGACATTTAATGATGTTTAATGCCACGGGAGACAGCAGGCAGTGTCTTCTGGGTTCTTTGATTCTTTGTCCCATACATGGTTAGCAAAATAATATACACACCTCTTGTATAAATTATTAACCTTTTATAATCTCTTCCACATTAAAGAAACTAGGAAAAAATATATGGTTACAGAACATTTCTTAATGTGAAATTTGGAATGCTCTTGCAGAATTTCCATCACTGACTTCTAAAAAGAGACAAGTATTTCAGTGTATAACTTGGATAGCATAATTGTGTAACTGAATTTCCATATACTGTATTAATGGATATATGGAATAAATGATGTAATCCTGCTCCAGTAACCTATGAGAAAGGCTTTCCATTAAAACTTTACATTATGTTTCCTTGATATCTCTAAAACAGTTTCTTGGAAATCCTTGACCTCCAAAACAATCCCTATAACAAAAGTTTATAAAGGGTATCTGTGATGGTCTTTTGCAATAAAAAAAAAAATCTTGTGGGATTTCAAAGACTAACCAGTTTTATCAAATACATGTTCATAAATCTCAGTTCACTTAATCAGAGGTGTAGTGTGGGATCTGGAGAGAGGAACTCTTTGTTGTTCAACAGATAGGGGGTGGAAAGAAGCAGATTGTTTTGGAGGGTAGAGAGAAGAAAAATTGTAATAAAAATGTCTAACAGTTTTTGCACTAGGATATTTTTGCCATTTTTTTTCCTGCAAAAACTGTATTTCATAAATGCCACTGAATCTATTATCCTGTGAGTTTTATTGTCCCAAGAAATATATTTATATTTACCTTTTTTTTTTTTGAGAGGAAGGAGTGGGAAGATCAAAGCAGTGATTATGAAAATATTTTGTAACTTATGTGCACTACAAAATTTATTAAGCTTATACAGAAGATCCCTTTATTGGTGTAGGATAACTGAACAATGCAGCAGAATTCCTTATAAGATATGTATGACATAAAAGATAGCAATATTTGCGTGGGGGGAGTGAAGAGAAATAGGATTTTTTTATTATTATTGAAGAATGAATAATTCTTCCAGCTCCCAAAAACAGGCCAAGAGGAAGAACTAATCATATGCAAGCATTAGTACTTCTGTAAACAGCCTCAACAGAGTGAGCTTGTAGGCCCTCTAAATAAAATGAATATGAATATGCTTGATACTCCTCAGCAATCAGTACTTTTCTTGAAGGCTTTATCATTTATTTATTTATTTATTTATTTACAGGTCCCCATCGCAGATCGTCTGCTACTTTTATGGGAGACGTTAGGAGTGACGGCCAGTATCTTGGAGCCAGTTCCTTGTTTGCTGCAACTCCCTATGGCTGTAACCTGTTACTGGACACGGTGTTCAGAACCAAAAGTGACACTACAGCACATCAGGGCTTTACTACTTGGAATAATATTTGGGGAATTAGATAAGATGCTGCACATTCCAGGTAGGTTGAGAGAGGATCAGGTTTAGATGTCAAGTTGTCAGTTGACACATATGGATTTTTTCAGCTATTTCATCTGAAGACTGCTCTGTCCATTTGCTTCAATTTTGTAGGTATCTGATATATTTTAAATAAAACTGTGAAATACATTCCAAGTGTTTTTTTATTATGTAGGCAACTTAGTATTAAAATACTTCACAATAACTTGTGCAAAACATTGAGTGATATAGATATCCAGTCCAATTTCACTTTAGTGATTATTATAAAGAAATTACTATACATAGATTATTGTTCCATTCAATTAGTAAAGTCATCTACTTTATTGCTCCTGTTTTTGTTTTTAATCCTGCTCAGCTTATGCCCAGGAGCAAGGAGGAGCTTTCTTTCTGATCCAGATTAGCCAGTCCTATTACAGGACATCCAGTATTGTGGGCTAAAGGCTACATGAGACATTGGTAACAGGGTAGTATGGTGAGGAATTGCAGGCTAGAAGCCAGCTGGCAAAAAGAAATGTCTCTACTTACTCTCCAAATGAGAATATGGAAATCACTGTAGGAATTTAACATCTAATATTTAAAAATGATGTAAAAAGACTGAAGAATTCAGTATTTGTGTCTTATTAGAGTTATTAATTCCATAGTGTGCACCTGTGTGAATACATTATCTGTACCTGCACTTTGTAGGATGTAGGCAAAAGTATGTTGGCTTGCAAGTAGTCTCTAAATTAGAAATGCTGGTTTCTCTAGAATAGCATGAACGAGCTTGGTAAAAAAACCAAGGATTTGGTTGCAATTGTGGCATATTGGCTAAAGTGGCAAAATTGACCAGTATTGTATCTTTAACATTAGGAAGGAATTCTACACATGGCATGGGTAGGTAATCTAGTCCTCTGTCTTACTATAAAGCATTATGTGAAAGCCTTCATTGACCAAAACTGTGAAGGGTAATGGAGGTCAGTAACTATTGACCATCTGGTAATAACCATAGTATACGGAAAGTTGTGATTTGGAATGTAAGATGAATATATGGTAAAAAGCATGAATAAATGAATGAAATGAAAGAAAGATGTGAATATGTGAAACTAAAAGGAAGCAAGAGGATGTAATGTATCTGAATGAAAGTCTTATCTCCCAGAATTGAGTTGATGAATGCATGGATATTTATTTATTTAGCTTTGTATCGTGCTGCTTAGCCCATGTCATTATCTGTGCATGTTGCCTAATTAACAAAAGAGGAAGTTAGTAAATAAAAGAAAGAGTTATCAATAAGAGGGAAAGAAAATACAATTATTTAAATTAAAGGATCTACGACTTAGGTATAGTAACAATATATTTGGACAATGAATTCTTTGCACAGCCTCCCTGGGAAAAAAACATATTTTGAGGAGGGATTTTAAAGATGGTAATCATAATATATGAGCTATTCCTGCCAGAATCTAAGTCTAAAAAAAAAAAAAAAAGGATAAGTTAGGTTTGTATTTTTTAGTAAAATCCATCAGCAATAAAAATACTTTTCCAAGTTTCCTTCATTTTTTGTAACACTATTTCCATTTAATGAGTAGTACCCAAATTTAAGATAGTAAATAAGGAGGGACTGCTGTTTTGATGTTGGTGTTCAAAGATTTAGATACTGTTTTGTATTCATTATTATCTAATGTGCATTCAGAAAAAAAAAAAAATTCTTTCATTCAGTGTTCAGAAAAAACATTTTTTTTCTTTCATATCTAGATCCCCAAGTATCACATGCTGAGGTCAATAAAATTGTACACGACCAATTCTTGAAATGGAAAGAAAAGAAATCCCCAAAGGATGCTTTGGAATTAGATGCTGCACACACTTTCTGCCAATGGCAGTGCTGCCTGCAAGCAGGATTATATCTGAATCAGCTGCTTTGTAGTCCTCTCCCTGAGCCAGATCTTACACGGTAGGTATTCCCAAGGCATCAAGTTTGTACACGCTTACAGGTAGTCCTTGACTTACGACTACAATTGGGATTGGAATTTCCTTTGCTAAGCGCTGCAGCATGTGACTGCATCACTTAGTGACCACAATTCTAGCAGTTCCGGTTGCCATTGTTAACTGAGGATTGCAGGTCATTAAGTCAATGACCCCAATCCAAGCCATTCCAGGCTTGATCCCTCCCAGCCCCGAGCCTCAGTAAGGTAAGGGACTGCCTCCCCACCAGCTAACTTCCCTCCCATCTCTGCCGTCTGGGTGGCAAGCAACCCCAGTACCATGGGGCTGCGGGGCTGCTTACCACGCCCCAGGAAGCCGCAGCCGCCCCAGCCCAGTCCCAGCTGCAGTCACCCTCACCACCCTGCACTCTGAGAACCCTGCCACCCTGCGCTCTGCTGCCCCAACTGACCTTCGCATCTTGCTCCCAATGCTGAAGAGGCGTGCCCAGCCTGGCTGCTAGGTGGGCTTTGGCTGAAGAAAAAAAAAGCCAAAAGCAGCCCCAGAGCCCAGTGCACCAAAAAGCTCTTTTGCAAAAAGTTCCTGGGCGGGGCCGCACTGGGCTTTCGCTTTGTGCTGTGGAAAAAAAACCCAAAAGTCTAACCCTGCCTGCCCAGGAATGCAGCACAAAGGGACATTTTGGTGCACTGCTGCTCGGGGGCTGCTTCTGGCTTTTTCTTTTTTTGCAACACGAAGCAAAAGTCCCACCCCGCCCAGGAGCTTTTTGCAAAGCATGCCGAGGCTAGGGGCTGCTTTTGGCTTTTTTTCGCAGTCACAGAGCCCCAGCGCGCCAAAAGGCTGGGCACACCTCATCAGCAGGGGGAGCAAGAAGACAGTGAAGGTCAGCTGGGGCAGTGGAGTGCAGAGCAGCAGGGGGGCAAAAGGGCATATATGGGGGGGAGGTAGGTGGGTGAGGGGAGTTGACACGCCCTTGTGGTTGTAAGTGTGGGTGCGCTGCCAAGCGTCCAAATTTTGATCATGTGACTTTGGGAGCATTGCAATGGCCACAACTTTGGGCACCGGTCATAAGTCACTTTTTCAGCACATTTGTAATTTCAAACAGTTGCTGAAAGAATGGTCGTAAGTCAAGGGCTACCTGTACTCCAAAGTATGCCCCTTTAAATTCAGTCCAATAGTAAGGTGTGCATATATGATCAAAGAATATTATTCAGGAAGTTCAGCACCAAGTATGGGTTGTAATTCATCAAATCAATTGCCTATTTGTGGCATTCTACTGTTTCTGTTCCTTTCAGGGTTTTTTGGATTAGCAACATTTCTTCTACTTGCAGCAGTACTTTCTGTGATCACAAAGCCAAAAAACTGCTATTACATAAAGCTAATTTTTTTCAGTAACAGATCTGAGGCAAATAGTAGAAGTAACTGAATTAAAAATACAGCATACAACTACTACTTGTCAACAGTGTCACTTTCTGGTTTGCATTTAGCACTGCTGCCATTTTTTAAGCATATCAGTTCATTTTTTTCTTTTTACAAAAGTTGTTCATGTTTTGCTTTTGGGAAGTCCATGATAATGAAACTATTTCTAAATAATGTATTTTCTTTTTAATCTTACATAATGCCATTATGAGCAAGTGTTCAAAGTTCCGAGTAATCCTTCCATATCTTATTAACAGATTTGCATTAAGTATTTCATATGCAAGATTGAGTGTGAAGCACAATGGTTTGCTTCAATCTATATAGTTGATTCATACCCCATTCTGGTGCTGTGGTTTACCTTTTCAATTCCAGACCAGTGTTCACAGTGCTTATTTCTTATCTAGATATAATTGAATTTTCCAACAGAAATATTAAAAGGTATGGGAGACAAATCTGAACTTGTGAAACCTAGCAGAGTAGCCCTCACACACAACAATAATATCACCAGCATTTTTTTAAACTTGCCCTACAAAACCAGGGGAACCACTCTATTCCCCACTCCCACCCCCAATGTTTGATAGTACTGAATAAAGATGTGCTATATTCACTGATTTGGGAAGGACTCTAGAATGTTTTGTTCCAGAATAGGTGAATTTTGCACATCCCCATTGAGTATCACTGAAGTCACATGCCCATCTGTCTTGGATACAGATAGTCCATCAGATTACCAGGAGAATTTCCATTCTGAAACTAGTTTCCAATAAATCCAGATAAACAACTTCATTAAAAGAGTTTAAGAGTCACTTTATGTGAGATGGACAGCTATATAAATATGATAAATAAATAAACGACTTCATTAAACTGTTTGGAATTGATTGGGAAATAAATGAATAATTATACTGCCCATTAAGGTGATGTTTGACAGTGATATAATATATTTGAGGTCAGCATGAAAGGCTCTTACTAGGCAGCCAAAATCTAGAAAGTTCACTGAGCAAATTCTAAATTCTCTGAACAGTGTTTTAAAGATTCAGTGCAAGAAAACTTCTTTTGCTTCTAGTGATATTACAGAATATGTATGAAGTCATGCAAGTCTGTTGAAGGTCTCATTTATATTTTTGTCCAAGAGAAATATGAAGTTACCTTTGGATCTATTCAACAACATCCAGGGCAATCATCAAGCAGTACGTCATTTCTCTATTATAGAAGCCAGCCAGGACAGTCATCTGATAACTGAGGGAGTACTGCTATCCTACTGGATCCATTAACCCTCAGAAGCTGAGCATTTAAGTAACTCGTTTATACTTTCAGGGTATGGAACACTTCCCTGCCTTCATAACTTTACTTGTTGTGTCAGGATTGTCTGTCTTTCCCCAGAAGTTCTCCTATGGCAGCTATGCCATTAAATTTTCTTCCTTTTCTTTAGTTGTTTTCCTGTTACTTCCCACAGGACAAAGTAACTTCTAGGTACTAAAAATTATAACATTTTCCTGAAAGGGGGGAAAAAAGTTTTGATTAAGTGTCTATATAATGCCCAGCTAGGGAACAGCAGCTACCAAGGTTTAGTTGATCTTGGAAGGCTAAAACACGGGCAGACCTGTCTAATACTGGGATGGAAGACCAACAGGAAATTCCAGAGATGTAAGGTAGATTTGGAAGGTGTAAAACATTCCAGAAAATAACAGTAGTAAACTACTTCCACATTATTATTTTTAAAAAACACTTTTAGCCCATGCTGTCACCAGGAGTCCAGCTTAATGCAAGAAAGTTTACTTCTAGGACAAATCTGAAAAGGCATTTGTTTTGTGTTCTGAAATCTTAAGGGTTTTCTTTGTTTGGTTTTGTTTTTAACACATAGCACCATGTTCTGCTATACAGAATCACTGCTTTCCTTTTCATCTTTGACAGGCTTTATAATGGGACCCTTGTCCATAGATTGTATCACGAGCTTAAATCCAGTTCCACACCAGAGAACCTCCTCAGTGCATCTCCAAAGATCTACCAGCTTTACTGCAACATGGTACAGATAGTCAAAGATTCAACACCACCAGGCTTCTTCCAGAAAAAAAAGTCAAAATCCCAAAGGAAAAAGGACAAGAAAGTCAATCAGTTGCCAGATACAAGAGAAAGCACTGCGATGGACACTCTGCCTTCATGTAGTGTTAATAACAGGTTTGCAATACTGGCAACAGACAAGTGAAAGCCCAGTATCCAAATTGGTTGTTGATATTAATCTGTCTTTGGGTTTGAGAAGTTATTTTTCAAAAGAATTAAGGAAGTAATGGTGTTATGAGGGATTTACTGCTTCAGATTTTGGTTTGGTAAGTCAAAAACAGAGGGAAAGTTTCTGAATTGTTCCTAATACTCGATAATTTTTTTTTAGAGGACATCCAAAAAAAACTAATTCTACAAGACAAGCTGTTAACTGCCCGCATATATAATAAATTCCCAAATTGCTGGAGACTTTGCAGTAATTCTCAGCATGAAATGCTTGCCCAATCACTTCAGAATTTGCACACTGCTTGTTGAATCCATTCTGTTAATTCTCTTGAATACTAAAAGGTACCAATCCTCTCTCTTCAAGCATTTTCAGTGATGTACAAATTACTAAGATTTTGGTTTGGATATGAATAGGTTGTCTTAAATTTGCAGCCCTCAAAATGAAGAAATACACAACGTCTCAAAATACGGACTGGCAGATAATTATCTGTTGTGCCTAGTTCATTATCATTAAATTGCACATTACTTGTATCACAAACAGATCTGACTAACCCCCCCGCTTTCATTGTCTTAGAATTGAAAGAAATTTGGAAACCAAATTCTCTCTCTTGCTCTCTCTCTCGCTCTTTTAAAGGAAGTAGGGATTCTGATTTTACCTTCAAGTAAAATTTACCATGATTAAATCCATCTGGAGAGGCTTCCAAATATCAGGAGAAGCTCCTTGGAGGACAGGAAAACAAGAAATAAAAATGCCTATTCTATAATATTGTCCCTAAATACTATATATCATCTGTGCATCCTAACTGAAGAAGTAAGAAGCTAACATCACTTTTCTTACTACATACTGATGATTTGTTATGCAACTGGTACAATATAGATGAGTGATGTCAGATGTTTTTTAAGTTTCTTCCATTCTAACAAATAACACCCAGTATGGTGTAAACACAAAAAAATATATAAGCCAATTATATTTGAAGCTTTTGGGGGATGAGTCAGTAAAAAGAATGTCAAAGATCTCCTTTGCGTGGCATTTGGGTCCCTGTAGACTCTCTTATCTAACTTATATTGGCCTGACCTACTAATGCATTGAGGAAGAAACTGCTCATTGTCCCACACTTCCAGCAGGTGAAAGGGTCTAAAGCTAGAAGGCCCTGCCTCTCAGTAGCAGTGCTGGTGCTATGGAATAGCCTTCCATGGAAAGCTTTTCTGGATAATATTGCAATGATGTTCACCTGTTGTGCCATCTTCTTCACTGTTTTGTTATACATTTTATGGTTGTAAATTTTATGATTTTATTATTCACCTTATTTATTTTGAAATAATACCGTGGATATTTTGATTTTCTTTTCTTTGCATATCTTGTAAACCTCAAATTGTAAAACTGCAGTAGGATATCATAATGAGGTATTTAGCAGATCCTGGGGAAAGAGAGGAGGAAACAGAACCATTGCAAAAGAGACACCTCAGCCCAGGGGAGCGGGTAAGCTTAAGAAAGAGACTGAAAGTAACTCTGCCATAATCATACTAGCTATAAGTTGATCTGAAAAACTGCTTTGACAGGCTTTCAAGACTCTGTTACATTACCCTACTAGCAATGAAGTTCTTTCCAGAAATCCAAGTGGTTCTTGTTTGCTGAGTTTGACAAACAATAAATAAATAAACAAACTATAGAAGTCTGATTTTCAAAGGCTTTTAAAGAAAGATAAGAAATCCAAGTATCAAAAGACCCTGATTCACAGCAAAGACTTCTGTAATTTAAGATTCTACTGCTGAATGCAACAAAAAAGTACAGCACTAGATGGTTTCTGTCAGCTATTTGAGGTAGGCTAGGTCAGGAAACAGACTCCACAAGGACTAGTGGAACTCTACTGTTGCAAGGTAAAATAACAGAATTGTGAAACCTGGACAGAATTTCTCTCTCCTTCTTATACCAAACAGAATCAAAGTGGGGCAATCTTAAATTTCCTGTTCATCCCCTCCTCTATTTCAGGGCTAAGCTGCTGTTTATGTAACCACTCTTTCATTCCTCCTTCAAGGTTATATCCATAGTCCTCTACAGTGTCTCTGTTAAGTCAGATAATGAATCAATCTCCATAATCAGAAGCAGTGTATCTTTGAGCACTACCTACTGATTAACATTGGTGTGAGCACGCTATGGTGTTTGTGTCCTACTTTTGGGCTTCCCAAGACATTTGATTGGCTGCTGTGAAAACAGTGGAATGGATAGATTTTTGGCCTGATCCTGAAAGGCTCTTTAGTTTGGGGGAGGGGAGAGTAGGGGGACAGTTGAAAAGGCACAAGTTAGTAACTTTGGTTAAATAAAAATCTAGATTACTGTGGAAGTGAAAAACATTCATAAACAATTTCATGACCTGGTTTCATTATATATCAAGTTACACAATCACATATTTTAAGAAAAGCAGACGTTTACTTGAAAATTGCAATATAGACTTTTCAATCACAAAAAGAAAGAAAAGACAGTGATCCGACAGTGGTCACATCCTGTGCAAAAAAACTCAGGATACCAAAAAAAAAAAAAAGCCCATGGTACACGATGCAGAATAATGGAAATAAATACAGGAGCTGAAATATGGCACTCTTGTAGCTCGTCTAGATAGATGGAATGCCTTAAATATTTCCATAATAAAGTCCCACCACCTTCACCATGAAACTTGTTTTAAATAAAAGCTAAAATCTTTCATCTAATTCATATTTCTATAGACATACATCTCTTAAGAGAAAAAGGGTGTGCCAGGCTTTTGACATTTGTTTTTGTTTTTTAAGTAGTCCCTCTCATACTTACAAAGTTCCATCAATCTAGAAAGTAAAATTACCTTTGAGGAAAAAAAATATTACCAAAGTTGCATAATTTATTACTCCCCATCTGGAAGTTTAGAATTAAACAGTCTTTAATCTCACCAAAGTTCATCATCCTTCAGGGAGGAGGACTTGTCAAAAGCCCTTTATCTTGTTTCTCCCTCCTACATAAACCGCAGTTTCTAGTTTTGCAAACAAAGAATGCAATGTGCATCATACATCGAGAAAAGATCCCAAAGGTGGTGATCTACCATGCTTCTGGGTCTTCTCCCTGCTTTTTTCAACCTTCTTTATGATCTCTGATATTATACACACGGAAGAGGTAAGGCCCAGAAGAAACTGCAAGTCTAAAAATAAAACAAAAACATGGTTTTTCAACTCACAGTTATAAAAAAGGAGTTCCTATAAAGTCTCCCTGCTTTTTAAGTAGCTAAAAGGACTGATAAAAGATCGGGATTTTAATTCTAACTTGGGGGGTTCACAATTTTTTCTTACCCTGATAAGATTCTATGGAATTATTTTGAAAAGTTAACATGTCTATTTTTAATGTACATTAAACTGTTTTGAATAAATGATGACCTCAGCAGTTACCCAAAAATATGTATTTCCTGAGTCTAGTAAAAAAGTTGGAGAGAGAAACAGATCAATGCTGTTCTCAGAGCAAGCTAATTTTAAGAAATTACCACAAACTGGTATTGCTGAACAGTCTAAATCAGTGTTTCTCAACCTTGGGAACTTTAAGACTTGTGGACTTCAACTCCCAGAATTCCCTAGCCAGCAGGGCAGGCTGGGAAATTCTGGGAGCTGAAGTCCACACATCTTAAAGTTCCCAAGGTTGAGAAACACTGGTCTAAATAATAGTAGAGACATAACAAGCTCTCTCATTTTCCCATTTATGAATATGCAGAAGTCTTCAGTTTGCATGCTTTATTTACTCCCCTCCCCTTTGATCCTGGTTTGAGATAAATCATAGTTTGCTGTTTTTAAGCTGGGCAGTCTATGCCTGCAAACCATAAGAGGAGAACAACTGCCACATGAAGAAGAAAGAAGAATGCATAAAGCCAATCCCTCATTCTCATTCATGTAATGCTAAATTTGGAAGAAGGAAGAGGAAGAAATAACTTCAGGAAACAAGTTTAGTAACAGAAAAGGGAGAATAATATGCTAAAAAAAATGTTGATGAAAAAGAAAAGATTCCAAGAAACTGTCAATTACACAAAGAAAACCCAATAGAAAATATAAGCCAACAGAACAGCTAGTGCTTTATGTATATTTCATACATGTTTGAATGCCTTATTAACATAATTCACCAAACCTTAAAGGTTTCATTCTGAAAACCAAACTTAGAAATGCCTCCTTACCTATTATGCTTAGACTCTCTGTCTGAAAAACTTTCTGAAGGGGAGGGAAGTAGATTACCAGAAGTTGACCCATTATAGATCCAAGGACTGCATAACAGAACATTTTGTTGCTGCAGAGTCCAATCTCAAACACTGATTTAGTCTGAAAGTTTAAAAAAAAAAGATTCCTTAGTTATTTATTCCTTAGTTAACTGAAAGTGAAATTCTTAGTAAACTAAATATAACAGAAAATATTTTTCTATAAACTTCCTAGAAGCTTGAGCTAATTATGATCTTAAACATACTCCTGATAATTTGTGTATCTTAAGCTTCTGAAGAAATATTGATTACATCAGATCAGATGAACACATACCTGAGACCTAGAACTCAATGCATTAAACATATCAAAAAATACAAAGCAAGTGAATGTCATTGTTGTATCTCGAGGTGTTATAACGTTGTCTCGTAGCTGCAGAAAGAAAAAAGAATCTTAATATATAAAGTTCACCAGTGCTCTACGGAAACATTTTAAATATAACTTTTCTTCAACATTTGAAATGATAATGTCATAAAGAATATCTAACTTTGGGGACTTCCACTTGGTTGATTTGGGAGCCTAATAATACGATGGTTGGATTTAGACATATCCATTTATTTCAAGTATTTTGTGCAGCTCTGTTACTAGAACTCTACTCCTATTTTCAGCTCTCCATATAGCATATCTTCATGTAATTACAAATTTACTTATAGGCATATTAATGTAACTTTTATTCAATCTCTAGATTGTATAGGCTCCAAGGAATTCTGTTAGTATACACAAAATTATTCTCTAGATTTCAGCAGAATACTTATGAGGTGTCAGAGCATAATTGCACATCAAGCCAACTTTTGTTAAACCGTCTCTTTTCAGCTACAGTTCAACAAGGATCCTGGGAACTGGAATTAAAAAAAAAATACTCCTCTGTTTAGGAAAAAAAACATTCAAATTGGTTTCAAATTGCTGAATATAGATACATGTTCTGAAATGGTGAGCAAATAGGAATTTCATTCCTACTGCAGTTTGTCCTCCTGCAATGGCTACCCACATGTATCATATATTAGAATCAAATAATTTAAGAATCAACTCCAGTATATCTCAATTCCATTCCGCTGCTTCTGGGACTTACTTGGGCTGTGGCTGATAATCACTTTCACTCCCCTAATAGGCCCTTCCAAGTAAGTATTAGTGATGCTATCTTGTACTAGCTCTGTGTATACTAGATGAATATTTTACCACTGAATCTCATTAGGATTCAACAGCAAGATTTTTGAGCAGGAATACGCTAATTCCCAGCTCAGCCACAAATCAAGGTAGAGTTTAGCTATACAGCTAACAACTCAGAATCAGCCTTGTAGGTGAATTCATAGTTTGTTTGACTAACTCCCCATTTCTTGTTTTCCATTTTCTTTTACCTGTTCTCAGATTGAGCCCCAAACATCTACACAGACTGCAGAATTTTTATTATTATTTTATTTTGCTGTTACAGCACATAATAGCTATTTCTCTCAACATCATGGAGTTATATAAAAATAGAATATGAATCTATAAAACCTCAAAAAATTGCATGCTGGTCTTTCTCCGTCTATATCATCAGAATGCAAGGGGTCACAAACAAGTGATGGGATTAGATGCAATTCCTTAACATGAGTATATATAAGGATAACTAAAATACTGAAATCCTTCCTTTAAAAATATTCTGTCTCTAAAACTCAGCAAAATTTAACTACCAAATCTGTTAGCTGATATTCAAATATGATAGTTGGTATTAGAAGAGCTGCTAGGAGTTACTGACATTTTATACTTTTTGTATGAAGGGACCCCATATTATTTAAGTACTAATTCTGAAAATCTTCCCTTTGAAAAGCAACTAGCCATGGATACTTAAGGCTGTTATTCAAAAACCCAGAATCCAAAGCTTTCTTGCTTGCATAGAACAAGTTATATGGTTCTTTAGATCTCAATCATAGTCTATATATTTTTATATTTGTAGTTCCTGACATATAAACAATACTGCAAGCAAATGTTAGCACTACGAACAGATGGCTCCTACCTCTCTCCAGAAGACAAACAGCGTTCCACATACAATAATTATAGATGAAACTAGAATTTTAATGATCAGATTTTTGGTCAAAATACTGTCCTTGACATTTCGTGGAGGCTTTCGGATAACATCTTTATCCACAGGCTCAACACCAAGACTAAAAATTAAGAAAGCAAATAATTTTTTAAGTTTACTTTATTAACATCACATAAATCAATTAATATGGAAAAAGGATTTAGTGTAAACCTAAATATAGGTTCATATTTGTCACTTCAACTATCAAAGTAGGCTGAATCCAGACTAGATTAGTCACTGGAATCAATGAAATATAAATGTAACTATTCTGGTTTTAATCCAATTAACCTTATCCTACACTACCTGCGAAATTTGTCACTTATGCTATTTCACCATGCCAGTATTTTTTAAAAGCAATTTTATCTTTAGGAATTTCCTCCAAATCTACTGTTTACTAGTGATATTAAAAAATATATTTTGAACAGTACAGAAATGTTCAGTGTAACGATTTCCAGGTGCTGTCTTGAGTGCTAAACCAAAAATTTGAAATAAATCAATTTTTCCTGTTTCTCACTGGCATAATATTTTTCTTATTTCCATTTGTGGTTGTGACTTTAAAAAAGAATTCAGCACAGAAGTTTATATACATTTAGTGCATTTCTAAAAATGTATACATTATAATATGCAACTTTGCCAAGTGTACACTTTTTTTTGCAAGCAAATTTCCTCTGTTTGTAATGTTTGATATTAGAGTGCCTTTTGGATGGAGGGAACTGTAATAATGTTGTTGTTCAGTCGTTAAGTCATGTCCGACCCTTCGCAACCCCATGAACCATATCGCGCCAGGCCTTCCTGTCCTTCACTGCCTCCCTGAGTTTGCTCAGTTTCATGCTCATTGCTTCAGTGATGCTATCTAACCATCTCATCCTCTGCCGTCCTCTTCTCCTTTTGCCTTCAATCTTTCCCAGCCTCAGCATAATGTCAACTACAAAATGCAAATTAATTATGTAAGCACTTCAATTATAGAACTCTGCTACATTAAAAAAATTACCTTTGAGCTGGAGGTCCATCCATTATAATGTTGATCCATAAGATCTGCATAGCATTGAGAGGATTAGGAAAGTTCATTAATGTGGCCAATGAGATTAATGTCAATGCAGCTATACTCCTGTTGAAAAAAGTTATTTTAAACAGCTGTCAGCATAGCCAAAAAGGGGGGGGATGAGGGAGAATGTAGAATAGAAAAACAACATATTTGAATAGCAAATAAATGTACATACACAATAACAATCCAATTGCTTT